TACTGATTGAAGGAAAAAAAAAGACACAAATGTAGTGATTTTTCAATGAGCAGTACATCTCATTAAATAATGTTGAACATTTTTGGGAACACCATGCCAGGGAAAGGATGGTCGTGTCAGAGCAACTTAATGAACATCAGCTCAGTACCTATTTCTTGTTCTGGCACAACTTCTTAGGAAACAGCTAGCAGCGATCAGGCATTTGACATCAGAATTTCATAGATTTCAAACAACTTGCTCGTAGCGCATTTCTCCTCAGCGTGGGGGTTTCCTCAAGTTTCTGCCAGGCCACACACATCATATGTTAGAAATCTTTGCAGGGAAGAACCCATCTAACATTACTTGTCAGCACTGATTCCTTTTAGCAAGAGTGCAAAACTATTTTCGGCCTGCTGTGATGACTATTTTTATCTCCATTAACCTCTTGACTGAATATAAACATTTATTGAGGGTTACCTCCCTTGTTTGTCCAGTTGCTTCAAAGGTTAGTGAAAAGTGGATGCCTGCCCGACCTCTTTTATGCTCATTAGCTGATTCTAATTGTTCCCTGAGAGATCACAGTTTTGACCCTGTTTGTCCTTGTCAAATTTGTCTAGTTACGGCATGAAGACATTAGCAGAAATTGCATTTTCAGGTAAAAATGACCCAAGTGTAGAACACACGTTTACCTAGAGTAGAGCAGTGAACAATATTATGGCTCTGTAATGTGCCCTTATTTCCAAAATGTGAGGTTACTATTGTATGGCCCCATCGTATGGACACCTGTGTTAGCAGATCCCTATGATTATACTTGAGCAATTGGCAGAATGTTTTGTAAGCTTTTGAGTAATTTGTAGCAGTTCTTTTGGAGGGAGAAATAAAATTTTGTTAGGTTTTTTAAGTCTTATTTTTAAGCAGCTGTAATAGTGTTGCTCCTGTGTCAAGAGGGCTGTTTTGCAAGAAGATAACTTTCTTAAGGTAGAGATATTCCTAATAGCACAGTAAAAAACCACATAGCATAAAGTAGCTAACACCTCCCACCACCACCACCATTTTGGGAATGACCAACTAAAGGTTACAATATGACAAATACATCTTAGGAATTACAGGATGATCTTCATAGTACTCTCTGAGAGTCAAAGCATGAACATACTTCACTTCAAGTAGGATGGTGTCCCAAAGGAAAAGAGCTGTCATGGAAAACATGTTGCCCTGCCAAGAGTTTCTTCTGTGTCAAGCCAAGAAAGCCCTTTTTCATGTTCCTGGGTGGAACAGCTGTGGTTGTATGGTGAGGGCAAAGGACCTGGCAGGTCTCAATGAGGTATCTCAGACAGACAGGTCCCAGGCTTCACAGGTTGTAACCAGTGCCTGAAATCCCACAGACACTTAGTGCAGATTAAAAAGCACTGGTGTAATGAGCTCAAAGCACGATATCCTGCTTTACAAGCGGGTTGCTGCATTCTGCACCAGCTTCAGCTTTCAAATGGATTTAAAATGTAGCCTCAGGTATAGCGCATTGCAGTAGTCTAATCTTGAGGTGATAAAGGCATGACTGATTTAACCATAGCTTCTTGTTATCTTGGACTGGGGTCTTTTCTTTTTAACCATTTTAGGGAAATGGCCCTTCCTGAATCAGCAGGCTTGCTGCAATTCTTACTATGTAATAAGGCACAAGAGCAAGCCTTTGTCAGTGGTGAACACCTCCTATGAACGTGTGAACTTCACAGGATGCCAGACCCCAAGAACTGCTGCGGTGGTCCTGACTCGTCTTACAGCTCACACAATATGCCTGTGAGGTACTTCAAAGAGAAGCCATTGCCCGTCTCCCTTAGTGGAGCTGCCAAGCTTTACAAGCAGCCAGGGCCTTCTGAAGTTTTCCTTTCATATTAAAAGAAGTTTATTTACATATCTGTGCAGCTTGGGAGCAGAGCTATGGGAGAATGGGAAATTCTTTTGAGGTGTCCACCGGCTCCTCTGGGCTAGCAGAGCTGTGAGACGAAACACCCTGTTTCTCCTCCAGCCTATCTCTAGTGCCTAGAGACCACTCACAGCTGCTGAACTGATTACAAGTTTTACTGCCAAGCCCACCTGGAAGCTAATATAGGGATCTCCATGTACTTCTTTAAGTTCCACAAAGGCCCTGCAAATGGGGCACAGTGAAGCAGGTTCATGTCCTGACTACTGGTGCTCATTTACCTGCTGTCCCTTCACCTCAGAAGGAATGAAGCACCAGCCTGGGCTCCTCTCATTGTTTAGAAGAAACAGGGGCAATGGTCTGGGACTAAGCCTACCACTTACTAAAGGAGAAATTAATCTCCACAAGAAAGTAAGTCAAACGGTATCTCTGCATCTCATTTCTTCCTCAGCAGTATGTAGTTAAGTATAATCCTTTCCCAGGACATATTATTTGTCCTGTCTATGTAGATAATAAACTATTGCCCAGCACAAGAAGATCATGCTATTGTTTGAGTCTTTTTGATACCACCTTAATGCAAATAATACCCTTACAGATGGGAGAGACACAATGAAATCTCAGATGTCTGGGAAGAAGAAAACCAGAAAAGGGAATTAGATCATGTGAAAATTGAATAGATGATTCCTTTTGCGCTGAAAAGATAGAATTTTTGTTTTGTTTTCTGAACTTGGTCTCCAACTTAAAAAGAAGACTTGTTTGAAAATCTGAATGGTGTACTTGGAAAAGTCCCCTACTTTATATTGCACTGTCTTTTGGTTGTATTTGGGATGACCAGAGACTGAGATCACATATAAGCACAAAAACCATGTTAAAGGCTTGACTGAAATGGCAGTTGGAGAAATGCAGTGTGTGGTAGGAACACGTCCTTGCCATCCTCTTTCTTCTGCGTTATTGCTATGCAGTCACAGTTGCTAATTCATGCTAGAGCTTATATTTAATATAGGTATGATTCTCAGTGATGTGAAGAATAGCCACTTTTCCTTGTTTCCATAGCAGCCTTAGCACTGTTTTGGTGTAAATGACACTAAAGTCCAGACTTTTCTATGACAGAAGATAGACATGACACTTTGATTACCTTTCATCTCATCTGTTGCAGATCTTTTTCGGTTCATGCCTCATTTACATCATTGTTTTCTGTGCAGTCCATGTGTAAATACTTTGCACTGATTTCATAGTTGTAACATCAGGCTTCTTGGTAATTTATGTATGAACCTAACCACATTTTTTAAAAAAGGTTGTCTTGTTTAGTGGCCAATTAGAAATCAAAATTTAAATTCAGATATCAAACGTTGATTCTTGTAATACTTCACATAAGCAAACACACTTTCTGCAACTTCCCATACAAAAAACAGTATTTGGAATTGAGACGTTGCCCATCTCCGGTTGCAGTATTTTTACACTAGGTAGGTATGTTGTCATTAGCTTTTCCATTCCTTTTTAGCAATTTCATTCTTCATTTATATCTGTTTTTTTCCAAAACTTCTGGGAGATTAATAATGTCACAGCGTGCATATAGAATAAGTGTGACTTATGCATAAACATTTGTATAAAAAATGCAAAATACAAAATGCAAATTAAGCAAGAAATACTTTATTGGAAAAAACAGTATTAGAGAATAAACAGATGAAAAACCCCCTGAAAATGCGGTGTGACATTTAATATGTCTTATTCTATCATCTTTATTAAAATATTGATATGTCATAAATTATTTTAAATATGTCTTACACAAGTTTATTATTTTAATCTTATATAACTATAATATTTTAAATAGTATCTTATTTTCAGTAAATATTTTCATGTGTGTTTTGGTAATGTAATATGTTTTGTGGTAACTTGTGATATTCTTCACTACATTTCTAGAACAGTCATAGATAATACTAGAACAGTCATAGATAATAAATGTGGCCAATGCATCTGGAACGTCTATGTAAATATATGACTTTCCGTATCTTAAATTTTTTTAACTCTATTAATCATACAGAATAGCACAACAGAACATAATAGGAGCCAACTAGAGAATTATTGGTGGAATATAAAAATAATTAATTAAATTCTCTTAAAAAAGGTTAGAATATCTTAGACCGAATTATATCCTAGAAAAAAAAAAGTAATGAAAAGTTACATGGTGACTGTTGTGCTTTGTACTATCTGCTGTGTTTTCATGCTTGATATAGAGAAAAAGAACTGTGAACGATAGAAGGCTAAGTGGCATCTCAGTGCCACATGCTGACAAACTCAGGTTTACCCACAGGGTTTTTGCCATTTGATTAGTAAAAAGCAAAAAGTTACGTGTTAATAAACTTGAAGCTTCTACTTTATCTCCTCAAATACCAAACTCTCTAAACACAGAATCTGAAATATACACAGGAGATGGTTTTGTTAAATGTGCATCTCTGCCTGCATGCCTTTCAGGTGCAAAGGATGTCATGCTTTACTTCTGTGCCTTTGAATTTATTAATACAACTTCTTTTATAGTCTTTTTGGAGACAAAATGCAGAGAATCATTAGCATGATTATTATTACAGACGTAGTAAAATCACACATCAACACTTAGCAAAAGGGGAAAAATTCCATTATCCATTCAAAACGATTTCCTATGATAATACAAATGTTACCCAGGACAGATCTTTGAAATGGATACTGATTCTTTAAATTCTTTCCTGTCTGTTTCAGGAAATAGTGAGATCCCATTGATAATGAAGTACAATGTATCTAAAGTTCACTTCTAAACACTTGGCTCTTTGCTGTGAAAGTCATCTGCATTCCCTTTATAATTCTCAGCCACTAGAGATCTGCTTAATCTTGGAGATCTGATCCAATATCATTCGGAAAAATCCTTGATAATAGTTTCGCCATTCAATCAATGAAAGAGCTAAAGCTTACCGCTTGTGTCTTCTTAAAAAAAATCCTGAGGCAGGGGAATAAGACCTTGGCTTATGGGTTTGGAGATTTTGTTGTTTGCAAATAAAATGATTATTACTATTATTATTCAAGTTCTTAATCAAGGCAAGCAAATGGCATCTGTTTGTTATCATCCTTCCTACAGAAGACAAAGGCTTCAGTCCCTATGGTACTGACTGCTGGCCCCAAGTGGTTGCTGGATGTGACTTGGCAAGGAGTAGAAGACAACAAAAACAACTGCATTGTGTACAGCAAAGGTAAACACAAGCTGATTTTTTTTCTCTACTTTTTTTGTGTAAGGTACTGAGATAAAAATATACCTGTTGCGTAATAGGAAAATGAAGTAGTTTGTTTCAGTTTTCATTCCCATTTTCCTACCATGTTCTGGTTTTGCTTTTTTTTTTTTTTTTTTTTTTTTTTTTTTAAAAAAAAAAAAAAAAAAAAAAAAAAAAAAAAAAAAAAAAAAAAAGTTCTAGGAAAAATATTAAACCCGGAGATTTTGTTGTTTGCAAATAAAATGATTATTACTATTATTATTCAAGTTCTTAATCAAGGCAAGCAAATGGCATCTGTTTGTTATCATCCTTCCTACAGAAGACAAAGGCTTCAGTCCCTATGGTACTGACTGCTGGCCCCAAGTGGTTGCTGGATGTGACTTGGCAAGGAGTAGAAGACAACAAAAACAACTGCATTGTGTACAGCAAAGGTAAACACAAGCTGATTTTTTTTCTCTACTTTTTTTGTGTAAGGTACTGAGATAAAAATATACCTGTTGCGTAATAGGAAAATGAAGTAGTTTGTTTCAGTTTTCATTCCCATTTTCCTACCATGTTTTTGTTTTTTTTTTTTTTTTTTTTTTTTTTTAATGATATAAAAGCCTTTCATGGTGCCTGTAGTGTACTAAATGCTTATAAAAACAGGACATCAGCTGACAGAAGACATACCATTCATTTCTCTCTGAGAGTGCTTCTTGGGAAACATCAGTAAAATCTATACACTTTAAATGAATGAATTCCTTCTGACATTTTATTGGACATACTGGATAGCATTTCTCCATGTTACGTTACATTGTAGATTACTAACTGAAATCTGGTTTTATAAGATGAATGTGAACTTGATTGGACTATGATAAAACTTCATGTCAGCATGGTAACAGAAGATAACTGGAACTGGATTTCAGGGTTGTCACCTCTGACATTCCAGTCTCTGTGTAGTGGCTTGACGTGATGATGCTTCACTGGAGTGTATTAGCTAGTGGAAATGCATATCATTTCTGTCTTACGTGAATTTGCTCAAGTTGGTAGGAGTTCTTATGAGCCCTCCCCCAAGCAGGCTTTGTCTAACCTACCATATCTAACAGCTACTTTGGTTCAAGATGCAAAGGCTTTTGTCTTGCACCTTGAACCAACCCAAAGAGCCTTGGGTTCAGTCCATAGTGCAGTGGACTATGCCCCATGCTGTTTTGTCAGTCACTGTGAAAGCTTCAAAAATGTTGTTATGGTATCATTACAGTATGTTTTTATCTAAAAAACAAAACAAAAGAAAAACAAACCCACCCACAAAAAACAGGACCTAAATACATGGAATTAGAATAATTAATGTAGTATAGCTGGTTTTGGCATTCACCCTGAAGATCAGGTTGCAAAACTGTGACTTTCCTTCCCTGTATTTCAATCACCAATCTCAGCACTTTGTGTATACTTCAGAACATGCACTGTTCTTGTTTAATTTCTTTTAGGTTTTATTTCTAACCAAACAGACCTACTGAGATCAAAGATTTGTTTGCTGAGGCAACCTAGTGACCATTTCAGCATACAAGCATCCAGGCAAATAAGCACCCATATCAATATATTAACATACAAAACACTAATCATAACATCAAAGACTCCTAAAAACTTACTAGAAACAATTACAACTTGTTCCTATAATCATTGCAATTTATACACTTATAAGAGGATTGCTTTTAAACTGCCACGAGCCTTTGAAAGTTGAAACGCTGAAAACAGGGAATTTGCATGTTAAAAACGAGTTGCACACCAGGGTCTTATAAATTCTTTCTATTATAATTACAGAATGCCAACACATTCAGTCTGCAACCTGAAACACCTGCAGTACTAGAGAACTGGGCTCAGATCTAAAAAGGGTTGAGCTGCCCTTCCTTCGCAGCTTGCTGGTTGCTGCCCAAGTGGAAGAAGCAGCAGAGTGCTCTGAGTAGCACAGGGAAGCTTTTCTCCTGAATCCAGAGCTGCAGTTTGCTATTCATAATACTGAATACTCGCAGGCAAACTTTTCTGCAACAACTTTTTAATGTAATGGGAAATTACTTTCGCTACAAAATACAGCTTCTGCAAATTCCCATAGGATGATGTCTTATCAAGTATTACATTCTATCTGTAATTATAATAATACTTAGCACATATATACCAGTAAGACTTTTCATCTTCAAAGTACTTTACAAACACTAACTAATTCATTAGACAGTTTCAGTGCTATCATCTGTCTGATTGAATCTACTGAAATATGAAATTTTTTTCAAATAGCAAAAACCTTCTTCAGTTTGGTGCAAACCGAGTAGCCCAAAATATTAGTCTTTTCATTCAAACGTGCTGGATTTTCTTTCACTGATGACGGTGGTTATTTTAGTACCTTGTTAGGTATTGAGAGACAGTCATACAGTGCTCAAGGTGAATTCTGTTTTCTCTACCGCAGATGCGTATTATAACAAAAGTAGAGGATAAATTTGAGCCCTGATTTATAAATACATGTTAGAAACCTGTTACTTCACTAATCTAATGCGGGAAATACGTTGTAGATGTGCTTTACCTTCACTGCATTCTGTTCATCTCTTTGCGCTTTGAGTTGGCTGCTCTGTCGTTCATTAACCTACACTTGCCTTGAGCTCTGCTGGGATTTTTGTACTAGAAAGATTAATTGGCTTGGATCACAAAACAATGTCAAATAGAAGATGGTAAAATAAATAAATAGAATAACGTTTCTTCCTTCAATTTGTATCTCATCATTCCAGATTACATTGCCTTGATTTGTGTTAGCTTTCTGTCTCCTATAGTGCCATTACTTCTAATGAAACGGTGTCAGCTGGCATGTAGTTGTAATTCGATGTTATGTTGTACTTGCATCTGTATAATTTTGTTAGTTTGCTTAGCAATACATTGTTATTTCTGAAAGCAATTAGCTGAACAAATGTGTGGAATTGTACATGTAGCAGATTTGGTCACCTGGGAACTGTTTTCCTTACTATACCCAAGCTGAGATGAGTAGAGTAAATCGGTACATTTCTAACAGGAAAATAAGTTTAAGAATTGGCTAGCAGTGCATGGTACTGGTCAGTCAGTTGCTGACTCAGAAGGACATGCCATATTTCCTTTTAGATTAATACAGTGATATCTGTGAGAGCGGAATTGTCCCCAGATCTTGGAGGAGGGCATAAGAATGTCAGCCTGACATCCAGTTCACTAGGGGCTGTGGGCACCCCAGTCACCCGCGTATTGCACATGGAATAGTGGCAAGGAGAGGAGCCTGGCGTGTAGTTCCAATTGAAAGGGAATCTGAGCCGGCCAGAAGATTCCCTTTTTGCCCTCAAAACTTCTCCATAAAATATTTTTCCTAGGCCTGCAAACACAAAAAGTGTGAGTCCATGTAGATATATGTATATATATGATGTACCTGTATAGGATTATATTGTTAAGTTATTACAGTGGAACCACAATTAATCTTCTATATTAATTTTTAGATGAAGAAACTGGTTATTTAAAATCATACATCAGAGTACATTCAGAGTGAATAGCTGTGAAGTAACTATTCAGTGTTTGAAATTAGTTCTAAATAGGACTAAATAGTCTAGGATCACTCATTTCTATCTGTGTTTTTTAGAACTGCATTTCCCCAATACTAGGACAAATTAGAAAAGGGAAAAACAGTTCATTAGTATCCCTTTTTACAAGCTCGATACAAGCTGGCTACTGATGGCATGTGCCATTATCCCATTCTATTTTTTTAAAGGAAATTTTTTCAACTGTAATTACATTTAAAAGACATGCTTTTTTTTGTTTTAATATTCACGTCAAACTTCTCAATAATTTAAGAGATGTCCTAGAAACAGCAACTGAAATTTTACAGACAGATTTTAGGAATTGTAGCTTATCTGGAATTATAAAGAAGTTCTTTCCAAAAAACAGCTACAGAGTTTCAGTAATTCAAGTCTAAAGTGTTAATGCATGAACTGTATGTTCATCGCAACACAGTGTGCTTGAGAAGCATTTGTGCCTCACAGAGCTGTGCACCAGCCCTGGTAGATCTCTAAGACCGGAGGTAGGAGTCCCCCCCCGCCTCCCCCAGCCTAGGAGGGGGCTGGGGCATTAACTACAAATCTTCCACTGGGACCGTGAGGGATTTTAAAAAATGTGTTACGACTGAACAGAATAGGAACTGTGTAAAGAATACAGTTGCACAGGCTGAAAACCATGCTCGTGGAACAGACATTTTTCCAGATATTGTTTAAGCCATTTATGTGAAATGTATGGATACCGTATGTTTAGTGGCATTGTTAAAACAGGGTGTCTGTACAAATATTTAGCTGTGGGAATTATAAAATCATAAGGCGATTAAGTTAGCTAGTTGTGAAATTCCAATATTGCTTTTTAAATGACTTCAGGATATAGGAGGTGCTAAGGTTATTATCTGTTATCAGGAATACAGCGGAATTGTACGACTGGATAATAACTAAACAACTGACACAATGTAAAATTACATTATCAGTGTGTTAAAACAAAATTGCGCCCTAAAGGAGTCTACATGCCAGCTCAGAGCTGCAGTGTAATTATGCTTAACTCTGATAATTAAAATACAACGGAGATCAACAGAATCATTTTCATTAAGAAAATTATTAATGATGGTGGTATAACAGTAATTGATTGCAGAGCACCACAGGATAACTCTGTGCAGGAAAACCAACATGTTTAACGTGTGGCTGGGCCGGTTGGGTGGCGTTGCGTGCCACCGAGCACGCTGCCCGCCCAGGTGGCACCTCTTCTGCTGCAGACCCCAAAACGGCTGCTTTTTGGGCTGAGGGACGGGTGCTGGGGGACGGGGCGGCGGGATGGGGTCGGGGTGGGCTGCCGAAAAGGAGCCAGCCAGCGGCAGCGACTGGAACCATCCGTCATCTGGTTTGGCGGGAGGCGGTGTTTGGTTTTGCATTTCCACCGGTGATTTACGGATGTTATTTCCTCCTCTGCCTGGCCTCGCTGAGTAGTTTATGCCCTTCGTTATTTCTGAGAGGATGCGGGAGGAGGGAAAAAAAAATACGTCCTCGCCCCGGCGCGGTT